TATTCTGAGACAGTAATACAATGAGAACTTATGATTTTTAAGGTTCAAGTTATATCACATGAAATTTATAGCCTTTATTATGTGGAGAGTTTTATAGGAAATGAATGGTAGGTAAGGATTCTACTTGCAACGGAATGGGCATGTGATTTATTTATTGTGTAGGCCTTGGATCTACAGAAAATCTTTGAACATTATGAAATTTTAGAAACTCAATAACTTATCAAAGATAGTAGACTGACCATCATGCTCAGCAATTTATGAGCTGTATTTCAATGTTATGATCAGTCTGGCCTTAGGAATTTTTGCCTGGGCTAGAGCCACACTTTGATAGGAACACTTCCTTTGCAACATGTGGCCCTTTCAAGAGAAATCTGTGGGGAGCTAATGCCAGCACACCTCAATGTAACAGTCACATTATTTTAAAATGTGACAGTTACAAATTAATCCACTATGTGAATTCAGACATAGGATAGACAGCAGAGCAAAAGGATTCTTATTTATAGCTGAGGAGATGGTCTGTTTTTAGTTTAGCAAGTTTTTATTGAAGACCTACTATGACACCCTTACTGTATTGAAAAAAGTAAGTAATGACAAAGAAATGTGAATTACAGTCCCTTTCCTGATAGTGCAAGCCACTTAATGGGGTGGGGGGGCACAAATTACACAACACCAAAAGGCATCGCATTTTAAATGCCAACTCAAGAACCCAGTAATATAGAAGTAGATTAGGAATCAGCTGTGGGATTTGATAGTTGAAGATTAGCTTTAAAGAAAATAGTGTGTTGATTTGGGCCTCAATGCAAATTTCACATTGATGGGGGAGATGGAAAGGCTGATTTCAAAAGGTGGAGCTTGTGAGAAAGCACAGTGACCAAGAGAACAACTTTAGAGAAAAGAGGAGCGTGTTTCTGTAGTGGTGATGATGGTGGCAGAGAATCAGTAGTAGCATGAATAGCATTAGCAATACCAGAGTTATGATTTTGATTAACAGTTTTATTGTAGGCAGAGGACTACGTGTTTTATACCTTTGTCTTTCTCCCACCTCACTAAGCCCAGGACCGCAGTAATTTTTCCTTGTTATAAAGGTGAGGAATTTAGGTTTGGAGAAGTAATGTAACCTGCCAAGAACACTGGGTTGGTGACTGAGTGTTAGAGGCAGGGTATGAAAACTTTCTAATTCCAAAGCCCAAACCTCTCAAAGCTAGAATAGCCCAGATAAAACTATAGACTAGTGCTGTTTCTGACACTAAGTAACCTGAAGCCTCACTATCTTCCACTTTAAAATAAAAATGTTGAGCAATTCAGTGTCCAGGATTCCTTACATTCATTCTTTGAGTCAGCACTTTATCAGGAAATGGAATTAATAATTGTACTGTGTGAATTAAGCAAGACAATAATATATGAAATAGTATCAGACTCATAAAAGACCCTTGTTAAAATTTTAGAGTCCAATAAGTAAAATGTTTTTATCATCTTATTAAATAGCTAAGTTAATTTCCTTAACATTTGCTCTGCTGTATCTCCCTATACTGTGGGTGAGAGATGTTTCAGGATGAGCACAGAACTCTCCATTTCCATGCAGAGTAGAGGAACTGTCCTAAAGATGTGGATTATGACCAGGGAGTAGACCCGTGAAACACATTCTTATCTTCTTGAACTTCAAGTGCACGTATGGTGTATTTGCCTAAGTGGTAGCTTTTTAAAAGTAACAACATCCATAAATTTCAACAATCAAAGTGAGAAGTGAATAAGCCACTTGTATATTAAACTAACTCTGACAATTTTGTAAGGCAGTAGAATGTGATTACAAATAACTTAAAAGAAATCAGTAATTCCTTAATTTTATCTTCTCCTTCTCTTTCCCTTTGTGGTGCTGGAGATCAAATCTAGAGCTTCATATAACTAGGCAAATATTCTACCAGTGAGCTATATTCTGTAGTCTGAAACCAGTGATTTCTAAAGCAAGGTCCTTTATTGTACTTGTTCTTTAAGGAATCTTGAGTCTTTATGTCTACATATGCTTAAGAAATAATTCAATTACAGAGTTGCTGTAATTCTCTTTCAGTATCTGATTCCCTCCTCTAGTGTTTCCTATAATGAATTAGTGTGAGAGTTGAGGCAGCTAGTCCAAGGTATACTCCTGGTTTATGGCAAAGATTAATCAACAATTCACTTTTCTAAATCAGGTGCAGTGGCCCACACCTGTAACCCCAGTGATTTGGGAGCTAGGCTTTATGATTGAAAATTTGAACCTATGAGTAACTCAGTGAGACTTTGTCTCAAAATAAAAATAAAAATAAAAATAAAAAGAGATGGGGATGTCACTCAATACAGAGGCCCTGGGTTTAATCCCCAAGACAAAGAAATAAAACAAAACAGTTTCTAGGTGAGAAAGACAGGGACTTTCTTTTTTTCATCAAAAATTTTCACTCCCTACCCCAAACAAAGGGCCTTTTTTTTTTTTTTAACCAAAAGCAATCTTATCTAAAGCCCAGTATGTGTCACAGTTGGAATGGCATTGCTCAAGTCTAGTAGAACCTGGGATTGTGATACCTTTACCTCTTTTTCTGTCTCCAACCTATGGTTCTAAATCTAAAAACCAGGCCTCTTTAAACAACAGCTATGTACAGTATTGTTCTGTACTTTATAATTTCATTAATGATATGGGGGCAGTGTGAGGTTTTTTTTTTTTTTGTCTTTTTGTCTTTTTGTCTTTTTCATTTTATCGGTACCAGGGATCGAACTCACGACCATCTGCTTGCAAGGCAGGTGCTTATGCCGCTGAGCTAAATCTCCAGCCCCCAGCCGTGTGAGTTTTATAATTGCTTAATGCAGGTTTTAATGTTTTTCTCAAGTAGTAACGTGCACAGGAATGTAGAGTAGAAGAGAATTAAGATCTCTTTCTTGCATAAAATAAAGTCTTTAGTTGCTATCTACTTTAAATAGTCCATCTTTAATACTGGATAATTATTGCCAGGAAGGCATGCTATATTGATGGCCTGTAAATAAAGTTTAATGAGAGCTAACAACTTAGTAAATACTAGCAACTGTGCTTCTTGGAAAATAAATATGCCTTTCAGTTGAGAGTTTTTCTTTTCTGATTTAACCCTTATGAGAGTTTTCAGACTAAACTCTGTCAAACAAAATAGATAACATTTTTGGCCTCAAAGTAGTCTCTTGTAAGCTACATGTACTTACATAGATGATAGCAAAGCATGAAACAATTTAAAAGTCCAAATTTGTTGATTATTATCATACATAATGGTTATTAGTCTGAATGTTCTTAGAGGCTAAGAAAGCAGTGAGGATGCATGGATTTTCTCACTCAAAATATTCAATACCTTTACAGGATAGCAGATCCTAAGGGTCTACTCCAATGGATTTCTATTCCTCTGCTAATTAAATACCGGATTTGATGAGAAAGGGAAGTTAGAAAAAGCATGGTATTCTTTATTTTGACTTTTTATACTTCACAAATATATACAGATCAGATCAGATAATTTCTCCGTATAACTAATGACACTGTTTGCTGTTATTATCATAAATACAGTGATCTGTTTATCCCTGGAGAGTATTTTGCTTGTATCTCTGGATACTGAATATTTTCAGTGGGTTCCCTGTAAATGTCTTGAGGTTGTGTCAACATACCTATAAAAAATGTCTCAAATGTAATTCAGAATCATATGTTTTGGCTCAGTTAGTTTGTATGTAAGATATTGAGATTAAAGGCAAACTTTATATGTTGGATAGTCTTATTATCTTCTTTTTTATTACAAATGTTATAGATGCTCATCACATGCCTTGCAGTAAACAGAAATACAGACAAAAATTGCCTTTGATCCCACCTCAAGGGAATAGATTAGTTTACAAAAAGGTGATCATCTTGGAGATTCTTTTATAGATGTACATTTAAAGATGAATTTTACTACGTATATCAATTGTACTGTGCTTTTAAAATGGTAATGTGGAAATATTTACATCAATATTTATAAATTTGAGTAATATTTAATTGCATATTATTTCACATAAATAGTTCCTTATTAATGGTTATTTAACCTGATTACATTTTTTATGAACAATGCTTTTTTTTGCAGTTGTGTGCAAATTGTCCACTTAATAGATTTGTTCAGAATACATTCAGAAAGATATATACATAATGAAATTTTGATATGTATTTTCAAACTGACCTCAAGAACTTTTGTTATTTTATTTTCATATCAGTAACAACATGAATATGTTACAAAAATTATAAATAACAAAACCATTTTTTATATTTCTCTGTACATTAAGGGAAGAACAACAAAAGTCAGTCTAACATATCTTCAGTGCAGGATCAGTAGAATTACTCTCACTGCTTGTTACCAGTAAAACATTACTGAGACCAGAAAAAGCAAATATTTACAAAAATTATCCCTGTAATTTTGTTTGAAACAGGTGAGAGAAAAATATTAACTTTTAGCTAGTATTAAAAAGTACATTGTCATGTTTTTGGAGGGATGATCTAAATTGCATATTATGAAAGAGACAAAGATAAGGGGTTTATACTATTTCTATACTATATTAAAGTTTGCATTTCATCATTTCATGTTTTCATAATTAGAAATGGTTACAGAAAATTATACATCTGCTTTTTTCTTTCTATTAAGGTTGTAGATATATTTGTAGCTTGTTTTCTAAATTTAAAATAATCTCAAATGTCACATTTGTGATTAAATATTATATACAACTTCTTTGAGTTAATCTTAAAATGATGATCACATACTGATAAGAAATTATTAATAGTTTTTGTGATGTGATCTGTGGCATATCTTAAGTTATTAAATGACACATAACAAAAATATAGTATAATAATATTTGTTATTTTTAGTAAATAATCTTATTGAACTATAGAAAGAAAGTTTGCTTTTTAAGTACATAGGTGAGAGCACTCATTTTTAGATTTTTAAAGAAAATTTTAACTTGATTCTTCTTTCATTTGGATTTTATTTTTTGTAGGGCTTGTATTTAATAAGTTCATACCTGATTTGATAAGCCATTCCAATTTATTCTTTCAAAATTAACTTTCTTTCAAGAAATTTTCCATGATCTTTAGATTATTATCTAATATATGTGTGAATTAAAACATCATATTGTACATTAAAAATCTATGTAAATATGTATTAGTAAAAAGTAGGTTACATTTTGATCAGGGCAAAATGAATGGAAAAGATATTTGGAGAAGAAAAGGGCATCAGCCAGCAGTTATAAATCAACATCAAGAGGTTGGTGAATGTAGGAATTTGATTCCACAGAGAAAGAGAAGAAGGAGCTTGTCCCACCCAGCACAGCTGCCCTGAAGTGGAATGAACCAGGTCTTTGTAGGAAATCCTATGCAGGGTCATGCCAGACAGTTAGGATTAGTCCAGGTGCTAGGCAGAATCTTTTTTTTTTTTTTTTTTTTCCACTTGGGATTCAACCCAGGGCCCTTGTACTAAGCTGGATCCACAGCCCTTTGTGTTTTTTATATTCATTTTTAAATTTTGAGACAGAGTCTCAGTAAGTTGCTAAATTGCCTAGGCTGAACTCAGCCTAGTATTCCTACCTCTCAGAGTGTTAGGATTACAGAAATACGCCACTAATCCTGAAGAATCTTGTATATAACCCCAGAAACTGCAGTGGTATATTTCAGTTGGGAAGTTAAAGGAGGCTACATGTACCTGAAATGGCTTTATGAGAGATATGTCACATTCTTAGAACAAGAACCTTAGGTCTAATCACTGGTCTGATGTGGGTTTTTCTTGTCTCATATTTAACAGTAGGAGGGCTACAAAGGTGTAGGAGTGTATCTTTAAAGTTCTAGATTCTATCTTACAAGACTTGTGACAAAGATAGTGTTTTTATCTCCCTTTTTTTCTTCTAGTTTTTGGGACTCAGAAAAATGAATTTGATAGAGCTTAACATTATTTTACGATTAGCCCACAAGAATGGAGGATAATATTTGGTTTCAGTTGCAACAGTGTTAGGACAAAGACAGCAGTAAATCTGGGACTGATAAAGAGAAGAAAATAAAATAAGCAAAACATAAAGTTCATATTTGACCAATGAAAGATGAAGGAAGTTCTGAAAATTCTCCAGAAAACACAGTAATAATTAAAAGAGATTCAAGATAGTCAGGTGTCAGGGTGCAGCATATTAAGTATAGATTTTAAGCAGAAAACTTATAATGGCAGAAAGTGTGTTAGCAACTCTTGGCCCAAAGACCAAGGGGAAGGATTTATAATGGACGAGCTTACCATTTACCAAGCAAGAAGAAGATTTAACACTACAGTGACTCACTGTATATTTTATAAGTAAACATTCACTACTCATACACATACATGTACATACACAGAGTATATAGACATACAGAGGCATAATATGTATAAATTTACATGCATTGCTTTACATATATAATAGGAAAAATATTCCAAAAAATTATAGGCAAAAACATTTTGGACATTTTTTTTCTGACTTTGTATATTTTCAAATGTTATAACAGTAAACATCTGTTACTTTGATAATATAAACTATGTTTAAGTAATATTGTAAGTACCAGATATATAAAAATACACATTTGAGTAAAAAGCATTTGGGTCCTGACAAAATAATCCAACAGAAGACATTGCTGGCCAAATTTTGAAATGGTTGGGGTTTTAATTGTTGGGACTGTAACCCTGTTCTGGGGATAGGTATTGAAAGAATTTTGCCCTAGAATAAGTTACACCACATTATGGCAGTGGGAGGCTGAATCGGGGATGTTTACCCAGAGGTCACTTCCTCCTTCCTCTATTACAGCTTCCTTTTTCCTTTACCAGTGTGTGCGAAAACAGTTCCAATCAGCTCCTCACGTGTCATCTATGCCTGCCCTAAGCTCCACCTCCAGTCAGAGGTTATATATATATCCCATACTCCACAATCAGGTCAGAGGAAGGCAGACTGCCTTCAGAGGAAGCCAATAACCAAACACTATTGGTTATGGTTATGGACTCCTCTCCATATCCTTGAAATAAAGGCTACTTTTTACTTTTATATTTTGTGCTTTTATTGTGCCCAAAACACTAACGTAATGGTGCCGTGACTTGGGTTGCTGGATTCAGAGTCCAGAGTACTAACGCTAACAGGTATAATAATGCTGGGGAATTTTATTGCCACATATAGTTTGTCAAGATTCTGAAAACATGATTTGTCTCTAGAAATAATGTCTTGAATTACTGAGGAAACAATAGAGTGTTAGTTACCTTTAATTTAATTCTAAATAAGAGGCATAGTCAAAGACTGTATATAGCTGGGGCTGTAACCTGAGGATTTAGGAGGTAGATTTTTTGTTCGTCTGTTTTTTAAAACTTGCTATGTAGTTCAGGCTGATCTTGAACTCACTGTGTAGCCTAGGCTGGCCTCACACTTACAGCAAACCTCCTGCATGTGCCACCATGCCTGGCTAAGTGGTAGGTTTTAAAAAATTCATCTAAAAGAGGTTTTGGATATTTAAACACAGGAGCAGGGGTTCTTCAGCATTTGGCCCAAAGTAGAGAACCTAAAAAAAAGAATAGAGTGATTTTTAAGACTGTAAAAGACTGCCTGGTATTTATTTGATATAATAATAAATGAAGAAATGAATGAATGAATTAGTGAAAAGGTGAGCGAAGATGGAAAATTGGAATGGGAGGGCCAGTGATAAAATTCCAACAATAGAGACCTCAGAAAAAAGAAAAGTAGTCCAAAACCAGTCTTCACAGATGAGTGAAAAATATACACATAAAATATACAACTTTTAAAAAAGACTTAAATTTATGAGGTGGGGGAAAAAGGATGTAAGAGGAAAAAGTGGAAAAATGATGTCATTGCTTAGTCCTTCCTTTTGGAATCCTGAAGCCATGTATTTGTCCTGCTGTATTTCCATTTATCTTTTATGTTATACCTAGCCATTTCTGTTTGTCTACCTCCCCTTCTGTCCCATCTCCTTCCTGATTTTGAAACATACTGTCATCTTTGCGTTCCCTTTGTTCTCATAAAAATATTTGCACATTTCAGGCGCTCCATAAATATTTGCCGATTTGGATTGTTTGGAACAGATGGTATAATGTTAAAAGATGACTACAGAGAGAGAAACATTACTAAATTCTATTTAACTTCTGTTTTCTCTGTAAAGGATAATGGTGTTTCAAATTGAAAAGGGCAGAACAACTGTATCTAAAAGAACCTGAAAACCTCACGTAGGTGTAGAGTTTACAAATGAGCTCCCAGTACTTTAAATTGCTATAGGTTCATCTCAGAGCATGAAAGGAATTTTTATATGGAGTTATGGAAATCTGAAAAGTTAAGGGAAGGGAGAGATGAGCTAATTTCCCAGTATTTGGGAGAAAGAAGTGGATTCCTAAAATTAGATGCTCTGGAGTGACTCCTATGAAATGGATGGATTGACAGCAGTTAGAAAAACTCCATAGTCCCCAGATGGCAGCCAAAGGACCAAGTTAAAGTCATTTTCTTGAAAAAAAAGTGATGATGGAACCTACAAAGGAGAAAAATTCGCAAGGAACAGTATAGTTCAGTGTCCTCAAGTCACTGGAGAAAGCATCTTAGGTTACTGAGGCTGTGGGATCTTTATGATGGACACATATGTTGTGAGATGGTGGGGTCATAGGTTTCTGAGCAAATGCACCCCCAAAATTAATAAATGAAACTGTGTTTTTGACCACTGAAAAAGTGGAAATTAAAACAGTCCTGAGATTCCACCTTACCCCAGTAGGAATGGCCATCATAAAATAATAAAATAATAATAAATGCTAGTGAATGTAAGAGGAAAAAGGAGCCATTCTACATTATTGGTGGGAATATAAACTATACAACCACTATGGAAGTCAGTGTGGAAGTTCCTCAAAAACCAAAACTAGAAATTCCATTTGACCCAGGTACTTCCCCTCAAAGTACTATGTTTTCTATAAAGAATTAAAAACATCATATAGTATCCCAGTGACACATGCATACCCATGCTTATGGCAGCACAACTCATAATAATTAAATCTTGGAAACAGCCTATATGTCCATCAACAGACTCATGGATAGTGAAAACATGATATTTATACACAATGTAGTACTACTGTGTCATAAAGATAAACTTGAATAATTTCTGGGGAAATGGATGTACCTTGTCACCATAATGTTAAGTGAAATAAATCTGACACACAAGCTTAACTATCATATGGTTTCACTTACACTAGAAATCTAAATTATAAATAAAGACCAAAATAAAAGATAGATAGTAGGAAGTAGGGAGAAAGCTGTTTCTCAAATAGGAAGAAGATAATATGGAGAGAGGGGAGGAAAGGTACAAAAAATGGAATTAAGATGTCTTATATATGTGTCACTCCCCACAAGAATTGAAATATGTATGGCAAATGTATACTAATATAAAAAAAGAAACTAAACTTTCATCTGATTCTGATTAGCAGTTTATCATAGTTCTGTTTGTTAAGGTTTTACAAATCAGCAAATTAAGAGGCATGGTCATTGATAGTGTCTTAAATTTTCACTGACAAAGTCGATGTAATGGTGCTGACTTGTGTATAGTGCATTTAGTGGCCATTGCACTCGGACTTGGAAAGTCTGCCATATGTGATAATGCCTATTTAGAATTTACCATACTAACCATTTTATATGAGGAAACTTAAGACTTACAGAGGTTAAATAGCATTAAATGGACAAGAATTATTCAGGTTAATAATGAAGAAAATGAAAGAAAGAAATGTAAAATTCATAAAACATGTATTTTCTCACAGATTATTTGTATACAATTGGTTTAAAGGTTTTAGTTGATTACAAGGTGAACATGATACATTGTTATGCCATGGATTTAAAAAAATAGAAAAACAGGGAGGAGGGAGAGAGGAAAAGAGGAAGGGAGAGGGAGAAGGAGAGAGGGAAGGAGGGAGAGAGAGGAAGAAGAAGAAGGAGGAGGAGGAGGAAGAAGGAGGAGAGAAAGAAAAGAAATGAGAAAACTGACTCCCACCACACTTGAATAGTTTGGCCACATCTGGAATATCTTTATATTTTTCTCCGCCCTTTCGTTAAGAAGGATGAATTGTGCAGAATGGACATAAAAGCATACTAGGACTCACTGGAAAAATTGGAGTTAATTAGTATGGAAAAGGGAAAACGGAAGGACTCCGGAGATCCTCCCTCAGACATATAGAAGATGTCATTTGCTGCTGGGTTGATTTATCTTGCAATGTTCCAGTGGCAGACTGGGATCTTGGGATAGAAGTTATAGTTAGGCCAGTTAGACCAGTACCTTTAGTTGACCTGCAGAACTATTAGAAGTGGGATAATCTGCTTTTCAAGGGGATAAAATCATCTTTTCCAGATCATGCAAAGGTAGGACTTTCTGACATACTGTGGAGGGAATTTCCAAGTTGGATGATATAAGGCTTCTCAATTCTCTCTCAAATCTAAGTTTATCGTTTTGTGAGAAAAAGGAACTTTCAAAAGATTGCATTTTCTAATGAGTGTTACTGGTTGAAGGTATGAATTTTCCTTTTACTTTATGAATTTAACTGACTTTTTGAACATACACTATTAACAAATTTTGTATAAGAAATATATTTTTTATTTTAGAAAATAACTGTTTCAGAGTTACTGGGAAAGCCATAATTTTAGTTAGTAAAATTCAAAGCACTAAACTCATTATGTTACAAGAAAAGCAATTTCCTCTTCATAATTAATTTTAAGACATTTCTTCCATAATTGGAAATAAATTGGGTTTAAAGAGCATTTATATTGTTAAAAAGGTGACATTTCTTTGATGTTTATGTATACATATGGGTAGCTTGTAGAGAAGTCTAAGAACATAGGAAGTGCAAACTTTTATTTTGAAAAACCTTTCCTATGAAAAGCTACTTGATATGTATGAAATATGCTTTTAGATTTCAAATTGTTATTAAAAAAGCCTTTACTCCTCTCTTTTCCTATGTTCTCTCCTCTCTTTTTCTCTCCTTTTCTCTCTTCTCCTCCCTCCTCATTACTAGCTCAATATTATCTTGCCAGATCTGTAACATTATGTTAAAAAAATCAGTCTGATTTTTGTAGCAAAGTCAGCTTAATTCATGCCCTCCCCTCCCCACCCAGGTGTCAGGCCAGCCCAAGCTGTTTAGCACAATGAAAGTTCTTGTTTGACCATAACTGCACATCTCACTCCACAGGCAATCAGCATTTTAATTAGTGATTCAAAGGAAAGTCATTGTCCTCTAGTTGCTTTATCATAATTGCCAAATAATTTTCCATTGAATAAATAAATAATGTAAAGGAGAAACCTCCCCTTATAATGCTGTCATTAAGGCTTCATTTTTTTACCCCCTCATTTGTATTTGTATTAACACGCAGCCCACTTGAAAGGGAGTAATTATAATGGCTTTCTGACAGTAGCCTATGGTCTTTAAAAACTGGGAATGGTTTCCTTTTCTATCTCTGCTTTGCACTGCATGGCTTATTTTAAGGTTAGATAAAGGAAGCTCATGGTGGATAGTGTCTCTTCAAAGGTGTGTGAAAGTGAATGATTGATTTGCTGTGTGCATCACTGGAACTAGGTAACTTGCATTATGACTCTGATGTACTGTGTAATTGATGCAAGTCCTTTCATAGCATTCTGAGATTGAAATCAATATTCATTTGGAGTCAACAACTGTAATAAACTACATTCCTTTTGTAAGCAGTGGTCTAAGGCTTTGTAAAGGATCAGTTAGGAGTGACAGATTCACATTTTGGTTAGGCTGGGGTCTATTTGAATAGATATGAACAGTGTCTTTAAAAAACACTTAAAACAGCCAGTTTCAAGAACTTTTTTATTTTTCTGTATAAAATTTTTTCTTTTATATGAGTCTTCTGACTGTTTACAGACCTAAGTCCATTGGGAAAGAACAATAAGTATTTTAATAAATTGATTTTCATGAAAAAAGTCCCACAGATACTATTTATATTCCTTGACAGATTTTAAAAATTTCATCTGAATTATTATACCTTTTAAAATATTGATGATTAGCAAATAGAATTTGCATTCTGTGTTTGAAAGAATGGCTGTACCTTGATAATAGCCAGTAAATGGTAAAACTTCAGATACCAAAGAGATGAATTCTGAAGAATAAATCAGTATCAACTAATTTTTCCAATTGGAGAGCACATTTATCATTTTAAGTATTGCCATGGGAGATATAATATGGGCCACTCCAAGAGTATGAGTTCTCGGATCAGAAGAATATGGGTTCAAATCCTGGTCCACTGTGAACTAGCTGTATTGGGCCATTGATGGAAGCTTTAGCTCCGGGTTACTCATCTACAAAATGCAAATGATAATGGTACCCACCTGAATAATGAAGAGACAGGTAAATGGTTTCTTACTATAAGAAAGCATTTAACACATTGGTTGGAATTTTAAAATAACTCAGTAAATGGTGATGAGCTATTAGGACAGGAGATCATTCTCCTTTTGAGGGAGGGTCATTATTTCTGTCCACTCATCTTTACCACCTTGAAAGTATCTTGCTGCCTGTCTGCAAGGGTCTCAGGGACTATTTTGCTTCCTGCCTGTCCTGCTTTTGACAGGCCAATTCTTTTGAAATATTGGGTTTGCCTAAAACTGTTCACAGAGATTACTTTTACCACACCAAGGCCACCGTTTTTCTATTTAACTCATGGCCCCAAATTTGTTTGTGTGTGTCTGGCAGAGTTATTATGAGGTATAGATGATGTCACTTAAGGAAATGTATTGCAGAGGGCTGAATACAACATTATTTTCATCAGCATGAAAATCAAAGCCAACATTTGAGTGCTTCAAGATTAGGGAGTGTTCCAAGTATTTTCCTAAATTGTAATTCCTATTTTACAGAAGTGGAAATTGAGACACAGAGAATAATTGGCATATAGTATTTGCTTAGTAATTGATAGTTATTTTTACTATTCTCCTGCCCTAAGTACCTGAGTAGTTTCTTTGCTTTTTCCAAATATGTATATTTCTTATATGTGAGGAGTCACCAATTATGCCCAACTATCAAAACCAGTTTACTCACGTGTTCAGTTTGAACACATTCTTTTTTATTAATTTCACATAAAAATACCTTTCCTATATGTAGCCCATTGAGGGGCTATAAATGACATTCATACTCTTTTAACTAGATGTAGTAGAAATAGTGACAAACACAAGTTTAAAAACAAAGAGAAAGGGTACACTGAAACCTTTCCCAGTTCCGTGTTTTGGGTTGTCACCATCAAATATGGCTACCAGTTAAGATCACATTTCACATCTCTGACACAGGCACTTTGACAAGAAGCAATCTGAAGGCTTTCAGAAAGAAATCTGTCTGTGGTAGTTTTTGTGTGATATAAATATTACAAGGTCAAATTCATTTTTTTCTAGTGAGACAAAATGTTAACCTTACACTTGGATTCAAAACTGACCCATGACATCACTTTTGGAATGAATATTTCTTTTCATTGGAAGGTGTGACCTAATCTCCATATTTCTTCTATGTATCTTATTTCCTAATATGACTTTGAGTCACAGTCACCTTTTTTCATACATGTGTGGATGCTTTCAGCTGCTGGAAATAGATCTGTAGGCTGCTAACAATTATTGTCACTCCTAATACATTCTAAAAATGCATTATAAAGGTGGATTGATTCTGTAGTCTTATAATAACCTTATGTGGCATTGGTAATGTGTATGGGAAAAGTACTCAGAATATATCTTTTCCATATTAGGCATTTAAGTCTTGCAGTAATTTTGGAGTTTTAGGGAAACATTTTGTTTCTGGTTTTAGTATACATCAGTAAAAAGTGGATCTTTTGTCTTGAATATTATTTTATGCTTATTTACAACAATATATTAAAATTGAGAGTTTAGATTTCATTTAATACGCATATATTTACAGAGTATATGAAGTTCAGCATGTGTGGTCTTGCCTTTTATTTAGTGGATCTTATGTAATTATATGTTCAGGTCAATTCATCAGATATTTATTGAACATTTACTGTATGTCAGTTGCTAAATAGGGATGTAAAGGTAAAAATGCCACAGGATTTGCCCTTAGATGCTCACAATATGAATACATTTCAAGATAAACAGATGCTTTGTTTTCGGAAGGAGAGAAAATTGCACCAATACACATATGAGTCCATATTATATTTAGATGCTTCTCTGTGATGAGGGGCTGCTGTATCTAGCAGGTATATAGGGTAATAATGCCCTTCATTGAAAACCGTGTTGCTGACTGTAGAGTTGTATATAAATTGCATATAATGTAATTGTAAATTTGCATTGTAATTGAAAAATGTTAAGTGAAAACAATACACTTACAAAATATTGTTTGCAGTTGTGATCTAAATCAAAAACTGCATGTTCTTAAGAGTATGGAAATGAACTAACACAGACATGTACATAGGCTACTATGAACAGTAGGATTATGAATAATTGTTATTTTGGTTAAACTTATCTCTGATTTTCAGGTTTTCATAGTGAACATACAATACTTTTGTAATCAGAAAATGTCAAACATGAAGGAAATTAGTTTTTTCATTATTATAGAACACAATATCATTTAGGAAGTTTTAAAAATCTAAATTGTGAGTCAGATATAGTATTACCATTAAATTTACCCAATAGCTATATTCTTGGAAACATTTTATTCTTAACTCAGTGGTGCATTTCTAAAGTTTTTAGGGGTTCTTGTAATGGGTGTTGATGAACACTAATAAATATGTTTAATAGATTTTAAATACAAAGATAGGGAGAGGAGGAGGGAAGGGAAGAATGGAAGGTGGTGAGAGAGGTAGAAGTTAAGAAACAGAAGAGAGAAACATGAAAATGCTACCTCTGCAGTGATCACTGAGATTTTGGAAGTGGAGTGCAGCTGGGTTAAATAGTCTTGGATTTCACACTGACCTCTGGGCAAAGGACTTTCAAGTTTCTGAGTCTTATGTTCTTATCTGAAAACTGACAATATCAAGTTGCCTCATGTGGCACTGTGGCAAGACTTGAACATACTAAAATGTGTGAAGGCCATTGTAGAGCTTCAATAAATGCCACTTTTTTCCTGCCTAAGCACCTGCACTCTCAACTATAGGATCAGTGCAGCCATTTGGAGTGTCTTTTGCAAGAAAAATTGGTCTGAGCAATCTGTCAGGCTAGGAAACACAGCGAACTCTTTAAGACATCATGAAAATTTCTGGGGAGATGCCATAGAAAACTGAAAAATATTGGAGAAAATTAGAGTATTTAAGATCAGTTGTTTCAACACCCTGTCCTTTCTCTTCTTTAAGGGTCTCAACTCTTTTATAAGACTCCAGACCCCATGTTGATTTGAGGTAGCACAATAAGAGATACTGTCAAACTCAAATCATTCATTCCTATCAGGTGATAATTACTGACTGAAATCTGAGAACTTTCTTGTGGTGGTGGACTTCCTCTCACAGGGCAGGGCTTAGCCTACTTGGTGTTTTCTGGGACATCCTGGCATGTATCTTAAGTTTGGTTATGATCTTTTGTGCCTCTTACCTTGCCTAGTTGTAATTTGTATTCATCTACTGCACTGCTACACTAGAATATAAGTTTTCTAAGGGCAGGAAGTCTGGGACTTTTCCATATACCTGTGGTCTTTACCACATGTTCTTACCCGTAGTGTATGTCAGTTAACATCTACTCCTGTGGATTGTTGGGCAGAGTCACTTGGATGCTAATGGAGCCTGCTGTCAACAATGGGGTGAATGGTGCTTTTTTCCCTTACTCTGGGTTCACAGTACTGTTCTTGCTGTCCTCCCACTCCACCCCCACCCCGGCCCCATTTTGTGGAGAGCTACACAGGAATAAGAATCTGTAATTTTTCCTGTACTCTTTTTATTTCTTATTCTTGGTTTCAGTTCTGTCATTGCTGCCATAGTCTTCCTCTTAGCTATGGTACACTGCTTCATCAGATAGGTCAAATGTATTGCCAGTCTCTATTTTGTCTTTGTAATTTTTTTGTTAACACTGTAGGTAAGTAAAAGTACATTTGACTGCTTTAATTCAGAACTCAGGCTTCCTCATTCTTTCCCTGGTCTGCCTTCCTCCTTTCCTCCAGGCACCCTTAAACTCTCCGCCCACTCTGTAGTCTAGCAAGGCATTTTCCTTTACAATTCAGTTCCAGGGACTCTGGAAGGCGAGCCAGCTCAGGGAAGGGGTGGTGTGAAATGTGAGGTGTTTCATGCCCTTCCTTCCTGCCTGGTAAGTATATCATTTTTTCCAGTTGACCCAGTGAACAGAGGTTAGCAAAACGCTTCTCATTCCTAGGTCAGATTGTAGCCTCCAGCCTGGACCACCAGCGTTGGAAGGGGATTGGGCCACTGCCAGAACCTCGGAGATAGGAACAAGGGCTCTATTTTCCTTGGGCTGAATTGAGTAGTCTTCCTGCTCTCTCCTTTTAGGAGTTTACATAGATGGAAAATAAGTTTTCTCTTCTGGCAAAATAGCAAGGCAGTTCAGAGAAAGATGTGTTTGGGCACTAAGTCAGGAGAAATAGGAGTCTTTGGAAAAGCTGTAATTTATTCATTTTTTTAATCCTGGCTTTCCAACCTTCCTCTAAAAAAAAAAAAGCATTTCTCTCCTCTCTTTCTCTCCCTCCCTCTCCCTCTCCATCTCTGCATCCCTCCCTGTCTCTTCCTCTCCTGCCCATCTCTTCTCTCCTTTCCCCTCCTCTCCTCCCCTTCTTTGGCCATGTGTATTTGAAATTCCCATTTTTCAAAATTGTTAGGAATTTGCTTAAAATGCTCATTTACTTAACACCTGGTCATCACTTCCTCAAATCAGGTTAAATTGGTTTCTCTTCTCTTACTCCTGTTCTCTTTCCGCCTCCTTCTTTCTCTCTTCCATCTCTCTTTGATATTCTTGTAGTCCAGCTTCCACTTAATTTTGGTAGCTTTGAGATCCTATTTTATTGTATGAATGTTCGTTGAGGAGAGGTAATATATTTGCCCCCTTCCAAGTCATCTACATTTGTTTTCTGTATTATATGATTTAGTGCTGGGCTATAAACGGCTCTATTACAGATTCCTTTCCCTTCTATGCTACCCTTTAATATGTGAATTTACAAGGGGCAGTAGATCTCCCAGAAGCAATATACATATTTTTAACAGTATATGGGGAAGCTGAACTAACTTGTGCTGAGAGTAATGGACTGGATATAAAGGAAATGGGGATTGGCCCAAATAGCTGACCTCGGTTAAAACCTTTTCCTTTACCTTCTCTTCTGTACCAGATGATAGATACTATGTTATAGTGTAGTCAGATCAATACCTATAAGGCAAGGACTTTCCAATCATACACCTCTACTTTTAGTACACAATTGCTTACAAAATGTCACTTTTTAAAATGAATTTAAGGTATTTCTTGGGAGGTAAATACTACCTCAATGTACATAGGTTACACTGTAGTCTTTGTGGTGAATCTTGGTTACTTTCTATAATTTGTAAATTTGGTCTTTGCCTCCGAGTGGCAATACGTTTTTATTTGTATAAATACAAACTTTACCTTTAAGGGTATCAGAGATTTTAAAAATTGATGTTTTTTGTACTCTAGCCTAAGATTCATATATATTTTTATTTTGTCATTTTTGAGTTGTATTTTGTGGTGAGCCTCAAAGCTGTTCCCTCTTTAAAACTGTGATATATTTTGATATTTCTACTTTCCAAGGGAAAAGTTTGCCCACTAATGGGAATGATACAGTGAAAGACAAGTGTGCGAAGGCTACCACAAAATAAACAGAAATCCAACTTTGCACCAGAGATCCCACCTGCCGCTGCCTTTTCTTTTCATACTGGGATATCTCTGTCAGGTAATTTTGTCATTTGAGGATTTATTTGGACTCTCTGAGATTTATTTTATTCCCAACAGAACCCAGTGGCTATGGTGGCAAACATCGGCAGAAAAGTAAACGGAAGAGTCGTATATGCTTCCTGGCCAAAAATGGCTGTGTGAAGTGTGAAGGAAACACGAGGCATCATACGGGGAATATTTCACTGGGCAGTGGTGGGGAGATTTGAATAAAGAGCAGGTGTTTGATCAGGTAGAAGTGATCTGAAGGTGATTTAGCTGGGGTATGCAACATATGAAAAGGCATCTGCTGAAGAAAGGCCTGCAGAGGTAGAGCAGAGCCAGTTCAGTGGAGCCAGACAGAGAGGGACTGGAGCTGTAGGGGCAGAAAAGGATTTGCCACAGCAGTACTGGACGGCTGCTACGCCAGGTAAGGTGTCTGGGAGCCCCCATACGTGCAGTGGGGGCAACTTGACTGCATAGGAGGGGAATAGGATGAGTCTGTTTCTTGGAATAACATCAATTTTAATATTTAAAAATGGATTTAATATTTAAAAATGGAAAGCAGGAAAAGTAACTTTTCAAGTAAAAAGTAGGGAGACTTTGGTCAAAAGTGAAAAGGATCATTTGATTATGTGGACAAGGTTATTTTATAGCATAAGTTCCAGTCTTTTAAGAGAGCTTTTGAATCTTCAAAAAGGAATAATGATTGTAAAATCACCTCAGTATTTGCATTAATGGTTCTCTTTTACTAAGATTATACATATTTGGAAGAACTTTAAAATGATGTATTGGTCACTATTTATCATGCTCTGTTAAGTATGAGCTGGGAAGTTAGCATTTCTAGTCTATTGTTCGGTCTCAGACATTGTGGTGCACAATCCTGGAAGGAACTGAAGAACATCAAACCTCCTGATGTCATCTTTTCACTTGTGCAATTGAGAAACCCCTCTCCAAATTCTGAGTGTTACTGGCATAATAAGAGTGTGAAAATATTGGATGCCTAAGCCAAAATTAGAAAAACTGAACTCTATCTATTAAGAAAGCCATCCCAGATGATTAATTATATTGACAAACTACATCTTTTAAATATTTGCCCTCCATCTTGAGTATGCCAATTTATACATTATGCACTTGCTGACATTGTTGGTATAATGGTGGCAGAATTACAACTTTGAGTCCGACATCCCCAATTAAACTGTTGATTCAAGTGGTCCTAACAGTCTCAGTGAGTTCTACATCCTTTTGGCAGAGCTTAATACATGCAAATCTAAAATGCCAGCATTGTAGCTTTAAAAATATGCATATTGTCTGGCTGTTGAGAAAAGTAAAAAGCAAGCCTGAACATTTGGATTTTAACTATTGAAGCAAAGACAGAAAGATGATTGAATTCAGTCTTAAATTTTATAGAACTAAATTTAATGGTGAGCACAATCACACTCTGTGGTGATTGTTTTCAGTGCTGCTTTATTAAGTTATGTAATGGCAGGAGTTCAAACTCAGTGATTGCCGAAATGGTAAATTTAAGGAGTATTTGAGGTTGCCTGCCAATATGCAAGTGGAAAATGCAGAAAATACTATTTCCACCTTCCTATTTCTGTGGCTTATAATTCTTATTCAAATAGTTTTTAGGGATTATATTTAATACACTGCTTTAAAAATGTTTAAAAATCTCATTTTATTCCCCAAAGATTTGTTTTTTGCTGTTGCGATTAGATGATGACAGCTAGCTGGCTTTTAAAATTGATCAGGAAGTATTCTGGCAGTCATTCAGTGTTGTAATAGCACTTTAATGGATATGAGCTATTCACCCAGATCAGACTCAATGTCAAAACAGGCGAAAATACAGCTGTCACTCTGGACAACAAGATACTCATATGCAAGCAGCTGCTTAATACATTGTAGAAAGGCAGCCTTTTAGTAATATTTAAAAGGTGTGTCAATGCCAGTGTACGAGCATACCATAAAGTCATGGTGTGCCATTTAGGAAAGAGGAGGATGGGGAATGCATGTGTTCTGTCTGCATGTACTTATATAAAGGTGGTCTCTGAAAATAATCTGTACTATGGACAACATGGAGAGCCTTGTAAATGTCTTCTTTGTTTTAACAGACACTTTTGTTTATTTGAACACACACTCATACTCACACCTGTTTGACTCCCTTGGTTAAAGGCTGGTGTTAATGAGGTCAAAGACCTTCACTCAATCTCTATATGAAGCTAGTTAACCTTATCTTGAACTAAACTTGAATAGTGATACCTCTCCCCAGGTAGTCCACTTACACATACAGACATTGATTTTAAGGAGAACCAAAATTGAGAAAGCACATTCAGGACATTTAGTGGTAGAATTACTTATAGCATTTCAGCAGTGAATTGGTGTCATCTCCAAAAGGGATAGTACCTCACTGTGATAATACAAATAACTTGTGATGTTCTTTCATTCAGAATTCCAGAGGAACATCATGGCTATTAGTTTCTTTGGTTCTTGAGTAAGGTATGTGAAATGTTCAGCAAAGGGCAGTTTATTACTCAGTTTAATGGACAAGGCAAGATACCGAATGGTTAGATGATTGCCAGTGTCATATACCTAGTTATGGCTGCAGCTGAGATGTCCAGACTCCACTTTAGTTTCCTTTTTATGACACAATACCACCTTTCTGCAGTTACAATTTCAATTCACTGTGTATTTTCTGAACATTTCTTCTATGCTCCCAAGTTGTACTAGGCATGGTAAGCAATGCAAAGTGACTAAACAAAAAGATTGATCTTGCAGAACTGAGAGTGTAAGGGAGAGTGAAGATTGTTACTGGCTATAAATAGACCCAAACCCAATAAATGCCAGATGTGAGAAGGTAATCATACAGTGTGAAAATATAGAAGGGGCTTGTAAGGAAATTCCACAGGAAGACTCATCTCCTTAGACAACTGTAGGTGACCTTTGGAATAGAGTATGATAAAATCTTAATTTTCTCCATTGAAGAGTAAGATGTGAACAAGGACAAAAGTGTGTTCAGGTGAATAGTGACAGCTCACAGTGACCAGAAAACAAGATAAAAGCAAGAGCAGAGCACATGATGTGACTAAAAGAGCCAGACTAAAATGTTTTGGCTGAATTCTGCTGATAAAAGGGAAACCATTGGAGGATTTTGAGCAAAGCAATGACGTACTGGAACCATGTTTTGTAAAGATTAACTTGACGATGATGCATAGATGAAATGGAGAGAGTAGCTTCATGAGAACATCAATTAGAATGTGCTTAGGACATGCAAGGCAAAAGGAAATGAAGGCCTCCGTAAGGGTGGCAGCATGTCTGCAGGACTTTGTGGAGATTCTGAGTGTATATCAGCAATGGCAAAGCAGAACAGCAGAGCACATGGGATTTGTAACAACAACTTGACTTCCAACTGCTAGTGTTCTTGCTGACGAGCTTTCTCTGGCAGTGGAAGCCCCTGCCAGGGAATTAACTCAGTCTCCGGTGACTACAATGGTTTATAAGTGCAGCAGCAGATTTGCCCCTTGAATGGCATTATTCTGATATGAAGACTAGACTGGCTCCCCAAGCTCCTTGGTAGGATTAAGTTCTAGTGGTTCACAGTGGCAGTGCTCATTTCATATCCTATTGACGGCCTTCTTTTCTCTGTAGTACATCCTCAACACTGTCCTGTATTTTCTTCACTCCAATAAATTATTTACACTCAAATATTCACCTCATGGTCTGTTTGTGGGGATCATAAACAAACAAACAAACAAACAAAGCCAGGTGTGATGGCTCATGCCTGTATTCCCAGCACTCACGAGGTTGAGTGGCGATGGAGCTTCCTAAATTTTAGATGAACCTGGGATACATAGAGTTAGAGCCTAGTCTAAAGTATTTAACAAGACTTTATCTTTAAAAAAAAACAACAAAATTTGAAGTGTGATTTGATCTTCACTCTGTGTGTGTGCATGTGTGTGTGTGCATTCTGAGTCAGAAATTTTACATGTACCCAATTCAAACTGGAAATTATAATTTGTTTTATTCATGATCTCTAAGCAGTTTTGGCTTATTTGTATTCACTAGATATGTAAGATAGACTGACAAATCAAATAGGAACTCTAAGGAGTAATTTTGCCTCATATGTTTGGGTAGACTGAAAAATGTAGATTTTAAAACATTTTGATGAAAAGTAGAAAAATTGTATCGTCAATTGTGGTATCTTAATATCTTCATTTCTCTCAAGTATATAGGCTATTTATACATGCATATGCACTACATATTGTGTATGTCCTCATTAAATTCTGTCAGCCAGTTAATGTCTATTGCTTATCAGAAAATGAATAGATCATACACAGTGTCACATGTTCAATGGTTCGTTTAAGAGATGACCATTCCCACTAAGATCTATCATACGCCATATAAGAATATTTTAGGGATACATTTCTATATTTACAGTCCACACCTGTATCAGTTACATTCTAACATTGCCCAATTATACAGCTTTGCTTATTTTTGTTTCTTTGGCCCCATAGTTGGTGTATTGACATTCCTTTAATATAGTAAGAATATACAGTAAACTAATAAAGAGAATATTGCTAGAGTGAGCCCAGCTGTTCACTGGACTTTGAGCCTTATGTATATAGTAAAACTACATTTGTTTAATAATGTTTAGAGAAATTATTTGAAAAGAACAACAAAACAACATTATTACTGGGGATGTAGCTCAGTATTTTGGCACTTGACTATGTATGTGAAGTCCTGGGTTCAATCCCCAGCCGTATCACAAACAAACATAACTTGTAAATTGATTATAAATATAAATCAGACATTCAGTTACTCAAAAATAAAAGTAATGGTTTTTAATGACTGCATTTTTGTGCTGAGTTTATAGAAATCTTTCTTTTAACTTGTATGAAGTGGTATTTTGTGGGATTAATACTTATTTCTTATTTCCCTTTTTATTCTAAGGTTATTAGAGAATCAAGATATAAATTATGAATTATTAAATAAAAATCAGGAGTTTCAATAGTGTCTATAAAGTAGAATTGATAGTTTAAATTTGTAAAATACATTTTAGGTTAAAACAGTCCAAAAATTTATATGTGACATTGTAAATAAAAATTCAAACTTTTTTGCTTGTTGTATTAAAATGTCATTGTCTGCCTCTCTACTTTGTGGTACACTTGCAATATACTAAGCTATAAAGCTGGTCTTAGTTTTATAAGGAAACAGTCTTTAAAATTAGAATTTATTTTGTAAAACTATATATTAATAGAGAATATATAGCTATTTTAAGTATTTTAAATGTGCATCTTTTTACATTTATATGTTGTGAAGTGTATGTACATACACATACATATGTACATAAAGATTTTTTTCACAGAAATATGTAATTTATTTGTACATGTTCTCTTAGTGTTGGCCACACATAAATATTTTACTGTGAGTGCAATTACCAGGTCATAGATTATTGGTACCTGACTTTTTAAACTTGTTAGAGTTTCATAGTTTCATTAATATTTGAGTGAGCAAAGAAACATTAATAACAAGTTAGCAAATAAAAAGCTTCTTTTAAATTTGTGTACTCCTTAGCAACACCCCAACATTTTTCCTATTCATTCATCACATTACATATATTTTAATTTAAAAAGGCACTGTAGGGTTAGCGTGAATATTTTGACAGAACATTATTGATGAAAAATTGAAAAAATGATATTTAGTTTGGTAGCCCCAAATGTTACTTTCTTGGTGCAATTGCAGAGTATGGAGGCCTTAGAGAGCATCTTAATCATCCCATTTCATGAATTAGAAAACTGAGGCAAGGAGAAGATAGGGCTTGAACAACATAGACCATAGTGATGGACCTCCTAGGAATACTATATTCACTGTTTTTGAACTTAGCTCAGGAATTCTGGGTATTTGGCAAAGTTGTTATTTTAAGATCATCTGTTGGTTTATAAGAAGCCAGTTTCTTAGAAAAAGAATGTTAGGTTTGCTATATTTAATGCAATCACATTGATCTGATGAATTTCTTTTACTTAATGACTGAACTGATAAGTTATTTTGATATTTTGCAGACACCTAATGAAAGGGCATCATTTAAAAAGTTAGTCTTATCTTCTGAATGTATTTAGTGAATTTTGCATATAAATTAAGCTTGGAAAATGATCTATTTAATGCATACATAATATTCGCTTAATGGGTAACCAAAACTCAAGGGCTTTCTAGAGGACATTTTATAAATTGACAGTGATCTTTTTGATTTGTTTTCATTCGTGTTATTATTACCTGGAAGCAAATTTTTGTCTGTTTGATGGGACTAGGACATGCTTTTGGAGAATAACAGCCTCACGCCCTGAGATAGAAACGTGTTTTTTTTTTTTTTTTTTCTCACAGTTTATGTATTTTGAGTTGTATTAGAATTTAACCTTTCTATGTGTCTGATCAACCCAAGTAAATTGTAAGCTCAGTCGTTCATATCTTCAAATTTCCTGGAGTTATAACAGAGTTCTCCATAGTTGCTGCTCAGTAAATTTTTTTTTTTAACTTCAGGACTAGTTTTCATACTTTTTTTTTTTTTTTTTTTTGCCATTCAGGTCTTGGAAAAGATATAGCCTACATTAGGTAGAAACTTGAAGTGCTTTTTTTTTTTATCACTTGGTGCAGCATTTTCCAATTATGTTGCAAAAAAATGATACACAAGGGATATTTTGGAATTGCCTGGACTACCAACGTGACTTTAAGGTTAAACAGACTTCTCATGGATGTGAGTTTTTCTCTTTATACGTTTTATATTTTACTGTCTTTAGCATTATCCATATACTCCTGGGCTTCAGATACAGAAGGTGGGAGGTGGGACACTTACACCAAATCAAAGTTCCTGGTACTGTTAGGTCATTTCCCAGGGGATGTAGAGTTTTCATAGACATGCCATGTAGGAGTCTTGTTTCTTGGCTTCATGGGATAAGCAAAGGGAAAGTGTCTTATGGTTTCCCTATTATTTTTAAGCAGCCTTGGAAGCCATTCTTTTTTTTTAAAAAAAATCTATACTCTATATCCCTTAAGTTGACTTTTTCGATTTTTGGGCAGAAGGATCCCAGTGTTATCCGATAGCCATATTCTTTGTCTTTTCTCTTCTACTTCTAAGGGAAAGAACTCTGGAAAACTACAGATATTAGAATCCAAGAAGGTGGGAAGTGCAGGGTGCTATAATTTTACTTAGATTTCTAGCAGTGACTTCATTGATGGTAGGGAGGCCTCAGGACTTGGAAATTCTGGTCTGGTTCCCTGGAGAGAGAGAGAACTATTTTATTAAAGTATGTCATAAACTGCTGGCAACCTGATAGGACAGGGTGGTCATAGAAAACAACAATCCAGTAGTGGAAGAGACACTTCAGGGATGAAGAAGAGATGCTACTGTTTGGGCCCTGTAGGTTACTAACTTTAAAGACCTTTGGCAAAAAAAAAAACATGGCACTAGGCACTTAAAAGGGAATAAAGAACAAAATGGCAAAGGTAGTGCAGACAACAAAATTCTGGATTCTGTATTTTCTCTAGATCTAAAATAAAGAACAATGTGGCATTTATTACCATGGTAAATCACACACGACTTACCTTACCCACACATGACAGGTTTTTCTGAAGGTAATTTGAGGGTTTATAAAGTAAAATAAAGCTCTCTATGTAGCAAATTTACTCCTAGGATTACTAGTCATGTAGCATAGGAAGAAATTACTCTATTTACAGATTAAATAGTAAAAAATATAAAAAAGAAAAGAAAAAAGAAAGCCAGACAATTACTGATAAATCAGGAAAGACTTTTGAGGGTTCATTGAATGAATAGATGTTTGCAGGCTCCTGGGTTGAACAAATTTCTTAGGAATGTACTATGGGCTTGTTTTTCCCCAGAGCTATCAACAAGCTACCGTTTCATAACTCCTAGACTTCTTTGAGACATCACAATTACTATGTTGCAGAAAAGCCATAGCCATCTTTTGAAAGATGTGGTTTAAAACTTTACTTCTGAAGTAGCATGCTCTTTATTTTTTTAGCTTTATAGTCATATATTTTTTAGTATGGAGATTGAATGGCTGTACCTTTAATTAGAATGTTTTTATAGATACCAGAGCTGTTGTTACTTGTATAGAGTGGGGAGAATGTCACAGCAGAAGCTAACCATTATCATGTCAGGAGTATGAAAACTACCTTAATAAAGTTTTAAAAATGTTAATGCATGTATAAGTTCTAGTATGTATTAAAACATCAATCTTTTTAAATTCAAATTGTATGAAATTGAGGGTTGAGACTTTGCCAAACTTCTCAAAGTTACTATTTTAGTCAAACATAAGTTGGGTAAATGAATTCTAACTATGTATATTAAAGATTCCCAAATGAATTTACTTCTAGTAACACCAGATTCCATGAAATGCTTGAGGAAGTTGGATTGATACCTTTGAATCAGTTGAAAAAAATTGATAAAATGAAAGCCAAATTTCCTAAATATAAGTAAGTTTCTGTGCTAGTTTTTAGCACAGTTTTTTTTAGTATATTAAATTGATTGTCATCTTACATTACTGGTTGGATTGATTATTCTCATAGATTACTGTGTTGTGAATTTTTGGATACTTTGTATGAAAATTAGTGGCATGCCATATATAGAAACTTTATGTTTTTTGATTTCCATCTAATTTTTCCTGTCTTTGTATACCTTTTTCTTATTTTTCAATTTCACTTGTTAGGGAAAAATATATTTTTTCTTCTCCATTAAAACACTTCCTTCTACATGAGCTTGTCAGTTTTCCCATCTGGGATAATTCTATGAGCGTTTTCCTCCTGGGAAAAGAAGCTTGCTAATGACTAACATGACTTTTTCAAAATTCTATTAAGATATATACTTTCATTCCTTTATTTCTATAGTGTTTCTTTATTTCCTCACAAAATAACAAGAGGTACACAGGAAGAGGAAGCAATGGAAAGGGTCACGTGGATGCCTGGGATCAGTCTAACACAAATAATGATTAGGTCGATATAAATTAAACTAACTAATCATTAACACAAATAATGATTAGTGATGTAAATAATTTAAAAGGATGCCTCTATGCTATTTCTAAAATAATCTTGGTTTTCCGGGATGAGAAAATATTTGTCTAAATGGGAAAAACAAAGACTTTAGAAATAATTATATATATACATGTGCCTACACAAACATACATATCTTATGTGTGCTAAAACTAGATTTTAAAAAAATGGACAGTTCTGTCATCATTAAAGAGCAATTTATTTCTGGGATAGTTGGGTAGTGTTTCGGATTAGCTTTACTCCTTGTGGAGTGTGTGCACCGGAAGATCAGTTTTCTTTAGTAGGAAGACAGAACAAGGCTGCCCCATTTTCAGTTATTTATAATTCTAAACACTCGACCAGCTATCCTGTTTTCCTGTTTTCACCCAACTGATCTAAAATTAAAAGGTAGAAAAATTCTGGTGATCATAGTTAAGGCACAGTACAAGATCTCTGGTGTAAATGAAGGGCATTTATTGAAAACAAACAGAGTTTACTGATTTTTTTAGGACAGTTTGAAGCAGCATGAAGTTTGGTATATATTTATTCTTTGATCTTACTGAGTATGAATGGCTTTTCAGAGTTGTAAGAAAAAAATACATGTACAATGTGAGATCACAAAATGACATATTGGGATATGAGTGACATCAAGAGATTTACTCACGAGACCATGCCTAGAAATTCTTTTCTGAGAGTTTTACTTCTATTAATTGACTTCTTTCATTGAGTGATATGCAGCATCATTCTCACAGTACAAATGATGCTCATTGTGATATTCTACAGAGCTGGTCCTTCAAATACATTTTATGCTTTTACATTCAGGTTTGTTTTTATTGTATTTTAATAAATGGAAGAAATGAACTTCCTGTAACATAGTTACCTTTTTAAAAGGTACATTCTTACTACTAATGGAGGCCTAATTTCCATTATATTCACTCTGCTACAGAAATGCTTAATGCCAGGAAGGAGATATTTACTGGAATCCACAAGTCCAGAATTCATCATGATTCAGTGAGAAATCCACTGCCCTTTGCTCCCCACCCCCTCTTGGACTGGAATGAAATGTGCCTTAAACTGAAGTGAAATACATCACATGCAGCAACAGTGGGCCCTCGCTTTGCCTCTATTCCTGGTGTGAAATCGATACACTATCTTTCCTCCTGACCTGTTTCGTGACCTCCATTGCAGCTTTCATGCTGAACAGCAATTGCTTTGAACAGTCTGGGTCTGCCACAGCTCACAAATGATTCTCAGCTTCTGTCTAAAACTGGTGCCGATAACAAAGGCTTGATTTTAAATAATGCAGTTGTAGTCGTCTTCTAATTATGAATTACATGAAAGTGCAAGCTCCTCCATTATTAAACACTTTCAATAGCAGGCACGGTACATGTACAGGCAGCACATAGGAGCCTGGGGCCTGGGAATCAGGCTTTTACATTTCTCTAAGTTTGAATTGCTAGAAAAGGGAAGGAAGTACAAGGCATATTTGCATTTTACTCATTTCCTTTGTAGAATTTTGTTTGATGCACTATTATATCATTTTCAATGTGAGACTTTATTTTTTTTCTTGTGGGAATATTTTTGACTACTAGATTATACTTACAAAAGAAAAGACTTTGATAAAAAAAAATATATATATATATACATTTTGCTACAGTAGATCTCGTTATGAAATTCTAGGGTCAGGCCTTTAGGATTTTGACTTACTTGAAGTGACATTAACTTGCAGGGATATTCTTCATTTCAATCACTCTGTAACTGAATTGGAGGAAGTAGAAACATCATATGATAGCATTTGAGTCATCTTCTGGAAGTTATTGAATGGAGGAATTTATTCTTTCAAGGAAATAATAGACATTGTTACATATTTTAAGAAAATATTGTGTAACTAACTGGATTGCTTTATTTTACCAGACTGAAATCAAGGGGATAACAAAAATTCTAGATAGAAGTGGGGTTTTTCCAAACATTTTGGAATTGGTGTAGGATTAAAGCAGATTTAGCATGCTTTGTAAAACAGTAACATGTGAGTCCTTCTTAGGTGCATTCTTAGTGATGTTGAAATTAAATTTGTCTAATGATGAAGGGCAAATGTACTCCCCAAATGGCCATGTTGTATCAGTGATTTATGTCACATATATATCTACATACCACGAAGAATTTTTAGTCCATAACTTTTATTATTTCATTCCATGAGTTGTGTGGAGTCACAGAAGGAAGGAATGTTAGAGCCCTAAGCTGGTGTTCTTCACCTAACCCACAGTTATGTGGCTTTAACTAAGTTTTCTAATCTTTGCTCAGTTTGGTTCTGTCATTTGTAGAATGTAATTATGAATGAGAATATGTTTTTACATACTTATTGCAGATTTAGGTAATCATAATGCTTGTAATAACCCTTTGCATTTACGCAGACCTTATCTTTTCCAATGATCCTTCCTCCCAACACCTGACCTTCAGAACTTGTAGGTAGGGCTTGTTACTATTCCCAGTTTCTTTTAGAAACCAAGAAACAGAGTAAGTGAGTTTGTCAAGAGGGCACTGGCAAAACATGGCAGAACTGAAACAGAAACAGAGTCAGCTGACTTCTAGTTCAAAGCTCACTTGAGTAGTGGTGAAGGTGAGAATTTTTTATGAATATCAAAACTTGAAAGGTAGAGATTTAATATCATAGACTCCATATTTTTTCGTTGCTCAAATAATGTCATATAAAATTTAATACCTGTTAACAATCTATTGATTCGTTATTGTTCTATTTAATGAAAATAATGTTACCTTGGGACAAGTACAGGTCAGTTAATTACAGAATAAATTATGTTTATAAATGTATGAACATACACACTTCAGTGTACCTGTGGTGAATGAAAAGAGACACTTTTGATGTAGTGACACACAGTCGAACTATGACTAAGGCTCTTCTAAGAACTAGGGATTTTGTGATCATGATAATTTCTTCAAAACATGATGTAACTTGAATCATTTAAATTTGAAGTTTGAAAGTTCAGCAACTGAAAATCCAATGAACTGTCACATTATTTTCTAAAACATTTGATAGTTTCTCCTTGTGAATACATGAAAGTAAATTTTAAAAGTAAATTAAAACATGGAACGATACCTGTAACCTTATAGCAAAGACAGAGCCTATGTTACGGTGTATTTCCATATTTTTAAGAAATATTTCCAGCTTTAACTGTGGGTCCTGTGTTCTGGAAAACATATGATTAGAAGCTTCTCATTATTTCTCCCTGTATGACACTCCCTGATGTACTAACCCATGGGAGTACCTGTGGAACTATTCCAACTAGATGTTCATGGTAAGGAAAAGAGAGTGGTATTGGACAGCCTGTTTGTGTCCTGGGTGTTGAATCCTCTATTCATAAGCACATATGGTTGTCTGTATATGGTCCATGATGAAGAGAGCAAGTGTCATCAAAGACTTTCATACCTCCCAGGCATGTATCACAAAAGGACTGTCTTTTCAAATTGTTAGCAAACATTGCAAAATTAAAACCTTTGACAAAATATTGGTACTTTGAAACACATTTATACCCTCTCTCATCCTCATTACATGCATTGTCTTTATTTTTCAAGATGCCACTTCATATAACCATTGTGAACTTGGCCTTTGCATTGGGATTATATTGATGACACTTTAGCATTCAAATTTTAGTTCCTAATTTGAAGGTATGCTATTTTTATTATTAGTTTTTCCACAAAAAGAGTAAAACCTGGCTGTATTTCAGTGGTAAATCAGTTTAACCAAGTTAGGAAACGCCTTTTATTCATAGCAGTTATTTTGAGACAGGTGCGTTACAGAAATGTGGGTTGTGGAGACAGAAAAAATACAAACTTTTATACAGAACCATTTTTTCCTTTAAAGAAGACAGTGCTAATAAATCTTGTTGAATCAAGACCTTGAAAGAAACTGAAAATATGTACAGATCTCAAATATACCCAAGAAAAGTACTTTATATTACCTTGCTGCTGCTGCTTCATAATGTAGTTTTAGTTGAATGTAATCTCTTCCACTCAAATTTATTTTTGAGAAATTGCCACACTGAAAGTTGAAACTGTTTTTGTCATTCAAAAGAAGTGGAAGATCAATACTGAAGCTCTCCTATTAGTTGGCCCACCTACTTTAGTGTTAAAAGATTTATGATAAGAACATATTTCTAAATATATAATACATACTAGCAGTAACCTCAAAATAAAACTTTTTTATTCAAGGAGAAGAAGGTGGTCTATTTATTATTGAAATGCTACACTAAACTATAATTCAGTGATATTTTATTCCAATTAAATTGTCCTTAGTAATAATCCTTTTTATGATAAGCAAAACTTAATAATACAGGATATATTCTCTGCAATGAATTGTTGTGTAACAAGACTTGATGGTAATTCTACCTTTTCCAAAATCTGATATCAGGCAATTTATCTTCTAAATAATACTCCTGAGTACCAAAGCTGAAATGTTTTGGCTTCCACCCAAATCAAACTTGAAGAAGCAGATTCTCCAGAGCATTTGCCTAACTCTGTAAATTTAATTGTTATAATGAATAGAATACATGTGTCAAGATTACTTGTGATTTTACCTGTTTACTTCTCTTCCTAAAACAGAGCAACATGACAAGGGCTATTAACTCTAATTGGAATTTAAAGGGAAAAAAAGCATTTAACATAGTACATGATCATTAAATATAAAGTATCGTAAATGCCCAATTCCAGTAAATAATTTCAGAGCAGTACAGATTAAAAATTTTATTATTATAAAACATTGGTAAAAAATTTAAAAATTCCCTAAATTTTCAGATGAAAATGTTTACATATCCAAAGGGATATCTCCTAATAATTTACTTCATTGCCTTATTACAATTTACATAATTGTCCTATTACAGTATCCTTTATTTCCTACATCTAACAGCATGATATATTTCTCATGTTGACTTATTTGTAGTATTTTCACAGACAACAAAACTAATGAGGTACTTGGATCAAATCAGTATTAGTGCCACTAGCATCCAAGCCTGAGATTAGAGATAACAAACATACTGCTTCTTTTTATCATTTATTTAAAAGATTGAAATGATAATTGATTGTGGAACAGAAAATTTTTCTATAACCCATTGTCATTAGTAACGTTAGTTTTAATAACAAGATGATCAACATTACATAGTCACTGCTGCTAATTTAGTGTGATTTATCAAAGATCATTCTTTTTACTCTTTTTGTTATAGGCCCTTGCTTTGTAGTGGAGGTTGGTCTTGAACTCACTATGTAGCCCAAGCTGTCTTGATGATGTGACAGGGCTCCTGCCTCAGTCTCCTGATCAAATGGATTGAGTTCACAATATATCTATTTGGTAGTTCTAGGAATCCAATTGAACATCATGTACATGCTAGGCAAGTACTCTACCACAAAGCTATACTCATGGCTTAGCCCATGTGTATTTTTATTTCTGAGACTGGCCAGAGAAACTTAGCATTTTGTAACCCTTCTTAGCCTCTTTAATCTGAAAGCCTAAGTTGTGATTTGTTGTTTAGTATTCCTGTATGTTAATATTTTCAGAGCATTTACATTTCTCATTTTTGATCACTCTCAAAAATTGATCTAATACATCTAGTAAGTGACCCAAAGTCTAGACATTATTTATCTCTTTACTATGTTAGTATACATGCATTTTTATTAGTGGTCAGAAATATATTGTTATATTGCATTATGTTGACATCTTGTATAGATGAAGTGAGACAGTCTATTTCAGAATTTCGTTTTTTTAACTTGAGAAAGTTGTTAATCTTAATTCACTTGGGCAAGACAGTTACAGAGAAAAGTTTCTTGATGAGCTCTTGATTTGAGGTAAGGCTTAATAAAGAACCTCTATTTAGATCTTAAGACTATGTAGAAAATGGAATATTGCTTTGGGAATGTACATTTATTTCCAGAGCTTTTAGGCTATACAAAAGAAAAACTGAGCTGAGCTGGGATGAATGTTCCTAAGCTATAGACATCGTTTGAATTAATCCTTCAAGGAATGGTGATTTTAGACATTGAGAATCTGAGCTATAAAGATACAATCATAGAACCATTCTCTGTACATACTTACTGTCTTGTTAGCTTTTGAACAAGTTTTAGAATCAAATTCTAAAATGTGAAGACTTTCTTTAACTAGAATTCATAGCATAATAGAAAACTGACAACAAAATGGTAGAGCAAATTTTATAGCAGAAGAATAATATGCTGTCCTTTTTGATTCTGGGCCACTTAAATTCATAAACTAGGTAAGTCCTAAAAAGTACATGCAAATCATCTGGGAAAGTAAAAGTCAAGGCAGTGTGGGAGAGAAAATGTCATGTGTAAAGACAAGCAGGCATGTAGAGTGTGGGGAATGACTAGCAAGGAGTAGGTGAGAAAGAATGATGTTGGGTGTAGTTGTAGGAATAGGCATGTGCAGCTCAAGATGAGTCTTGTGTGCCGAGTGTGGTTCTGGGGAGAGTCTGCGTGGTAATGATTTGTGTGAGCTTTCCATTACTGTAACAAATACTTTGATAATTAATTTATAAGGAGAAAAGGTTTATTTTGGCTCCACTTGGGAGGTTTGTTGGCCCCTTTTTGGGGGGGTTTGTAGAGGAGGACATGGCACAGTATTCCAGAGAGCAAGTGGTAGAACAAGCTGCTCCCCTCACACTGGAATGTCCACGGACTTCCACCCTCTTCTGTAGTAGAATTCCAGAGGCTGAATCTCTTTAAAAGTTTTTACTATCTCCCAAGAGTACCAGAGTCTGGGGACCAATCCTTTAACACATGGCCCTTTTGGCCCATGTTATATATATTCAAACTGTGGAATGATCTAATTAGATCCACAATGAAATGCCTTATTTTGTTCATGGCGTGACTGATGGAGTGAAGGAAGATAAGTTTAAAGCCAATAATGTGTAGTGATCTGGATAAGACAACTTATTTGAAGTATGCATAAGACATTGGTTAAAGAGAAGTGGACTTACAAACATAAGTAGAAGTCAAATTCAAAGAGGCTTGGTAAGTTCTTGCTAGTGGAGGATGAGGGAAAGAAAGAATCAAAGGCTAGTTCTAGGTGTGCTACCTGAGAGAGACTGTGGAGCTAGGAAAGTAGCTTAGAAGTAGACTGCTTGCCTAGCTGGCACAAGGTCCTTGGATTCAATACTAAATATGCATGCATGCATACATACATACATACACACTGCCATTAATCCTCCTGAAAATACTGCTCCTGGCTTTGACCATACAACACCTAACCCATTGTTCTTGCCACTTTCTGAAGCAGTTAGGGAAGTATTTTTTCATGTCTTTTGTTGTGATGTTGTGCCTGCCTCGATGTTGTGAACCAATTCAAAATGCTTATATTTTATGGTCAGTTTGACTTTGGGAAAGAGCCATAAGTTGCATGGTGCCAGGCCCAGTAAATAAGGTGGATTAAGACATACTGTAATGTTTTTAAGAGCCTGATTTTCCATTGGGTAACAATCAGCAGTAGCATTGACTCTATCTTTGATCACACTTCACCAAGACACTCACAAAGGAAGGCTTCCAGAACCGATTGAGAAAATGGCAAAAATGATGGAATAAGTGTGTTCAGAGGAAGGGGAAGTATTTTGAGAGATTAATGGCAGTGCATCTTTTTCTGTAATAGATTTTTGAAACCTTAAACATGCACCATATATTTTGATACCTATCTATTCCTCTTACCTGTCCATCCAATCTGTGCATCTCTAATAAATGTGCCATTCATCCCATAAAACCCAAATCCCCATTGTGCATACTGTTGTCCTTTCTCATTCAGGACAGAATAGTTTTTTGAAGAAATTTCATGGTCACCAGAGATCTTAATATCATGGAGTAAAAATTTGAGTGAGTCTTAACTTATGAATTTGGAGCTGTTTAATGATTTGCATCTATTTCTGATGAGCCTTGGACATGTGATTGGACAAGGAGAAAGCATAAAAAAATTCTTAAGAATAAAAACAGAATAGTAGCAGATGATTAAGACAGCCTTCCTACATGAATACTGAGATTTCTTGATCACTGAAAAGTTCTGTGTTGAATACTTCCTAGTAGTGTTATTAAATGTAGAGGATGTTGCCTAGAAACACTTATAGTTTCTGAATCTATGCCCAGCACTGTACTCCTGGTCATGGTGCAGTCTGTCATGTGCCTTGACCTTTCTGAGTTTAATTTCTTCAGTGAAAGTGCAGTTTCCTCCTAGGTGTTTCTTCTGCTCTGAAAGCTGTCCGTCTGGAATTGTATAGGATACAATTGTATAGGATACTGTATTGTATAGGATATTCATTGTGTAGAATACTCTGTATTAATGAAAAAAGATTTATGAAATTGGAATAATTTAGAGATGATTATTTGCATTGCAGATAGATTTTCTTTATAATAGAATTTATTTGTGAGGAGTCCTTTTAGAGAGTTTGATGTTGTTTGGAAAAAAAAACACTGTAAACTTGGGGTTAAAAGATCTTATCTGAAAATGAGGCTGTATACATCTATTAATTGTATGACTTAATTGCTTTAAATCATAGTGTCTTCATTTTAAAATTAACATATTAATACAATGCCTGGCCCGTTGTTCTAGTCATTCTGAAGGTTGTCAGGAATTATATAAATGAAAGTTATTCTTGCTCAAAGAGTAGTCATCATAACGTGATACACGTTCACATAATTCTCTTAGTGTTGGCCCTGATTCCAGGAAGTGCTCCTAGTTTCATAAGCACTATAGAGATCCATGTACAATGGTGCACATGATAATGATAGTAGATATTTTACACTGAAAAGTGTTCTCACATTCTCCGCAGGTCTCTGAATTCAGGCTGTGCCTTTCCAATCAGTGTTAGTGCAATTAGGATCGTACCTTGACCATAGGAAGACTCCTATCAGTTTGCATTTCCCTGCTGATCTCTACCCACCTGTGTTAGCTTTGTGCTGCTGTGAACAAAATTCCTGAGAATAACTTCAGTCCTTGGTTAGCTAGTTCCATTGCTTTTAGGCCTGTGGCAAGGTAGAGACCTTGCGATAGAAACGCATGGCAACTGATAACTGCTCACCTCATGGCAACCAGGAGGGAGAGAGAAGAGTGGTGCATAATATATAGTCTCCAAGGTATTGTCCACAGGACCCACTCCATTACCTTCCAATAATGCTATAAAATTATAATCCCATCAATGGATTAATCCACTGATGATTTAGAGCCATCCTGATCCAATCACCTTCTAAAAGCCCCATCTTTGAACACGAGTCTTTTGGGGGAATGCACTTTAGCTCCAAAGAAGACTGTGCCTCCAGCCATGTAAAACTCACATTTTATTATCTTTGGTTTGCTTGTCTAGTTCTAGGTATGTACTGACATAATTTTGTCAGTCATTATGCTTCAGCAGTACTTGCAAGAGTCCAAAATGAATGAGGAAAAAGAGGTCACAGTGTTAAATAGCATACTTTGCTGAGTACACTGATCTCAGAATGAGGCCAAGAATTCACAGTGTGTGATAGGTTTTTGAAAATCTGTCCCAGCACTTACTGGATGAAAGTTTTAAGTACTGAGTGCTCCTGCTTTTGTTTTCCAAGAGGTAACAGTGCTGCAGGAATAAAGATGATGTGTATTTACACATTTAAGAAGGGAGCCTTTTGATGAAGGGACTGAAGCTCCTTTCAGGCCCTAATGCTTTTCTAAGACCTACAAATGTAGAGTGAGTTTGGAGGTCATCTTTCTGTGATAAAGATATATAATGTATGGATCCAGTTAGCATATGGTTCTGTGGGCTTCATAGATATGTGTCGGCAGCATTTAGCCAGTATCCATGAGTATCCCTGTGCAATGACTAATATAGATAACTTAGTAAATGTTAGTTGAATGAGTGAATTAATAGAGAATGGTTATGACTCTGTTTCAGATACTGTGATAAATGTTACACATTATCTCTAATATGCTCTCAGTACCATTTATTATCATCATTATAGATTCAGAGAATCAGTGTTCTTTTTTCAGTATCACATTGTTAGTATCTGGCAGAGTTCAAATTTTCATAGCTTTCCTGAATTTGGTTTCCAGTCATGAGCTCCTGAATACTACTTAGACATGTACCCCCCCCCCCCCATGGACAAATGCAAGGACTCTCAAAGAGACTGAGGAGTACAAAGAGAGGCCCATCTAATTACCTCCCTTGTGTCTGATTCACTGGAGTATAATTGGACTAGATGTTCAAATACTTTCTCAGTTATCCTATTAGGTTTTTGTTTATTTTGCCTTTAAGTTTATTATCGTGTAAGGCTTGTTAGCTTTCCAGAGTTAATAGGAACTGCAGGGATACTTTGATTAGTGCTAAGAAAGTTCTCTAGGTATGTTATAAGCTACAGGGGAAAGTCTAATTGGAGACACAGACTCTTAAGTTTTGTTAAAAGTCACCTCTTAGTAAAGAACCCACTCTTCTTTGTTTAGCACTTGAGTCTTCTCTGTGCCCCAGAACCTGACCAAGGGTGTTCCAGGAGGCTCAAAACATTAGCAGTGACAGGAAACTCCCCATAACTGAACAGGGCTTATTTAGTCCTTGAGTAGATTTGGCTGTTTGGATTTTTTAAAAGCTTCTTATGTCTTCAGCGTCTTCAACCGAATTTCTTTTTGTAGGCTCATTACAGGTAGGAATGTTCTCCAGGGTGATGTTTCAAATATCTGAAACCTGATGATCTTCCCTACATTTTGTCTCTGGAGGATCTAGTTCCCTCAATAGCTCATCATCTGTGCTGGGTGCTGGTCTTACACTGTACAGTCATCCTTTAATAAATATTACATTAATTGAATTACTATGCCAGATGATAAATTATCATGAAACAAAAGTCTATCAAGAACATAGCAAACAAATAATAAAAAGAATATAGCCTATCTGCAAGAATTAAAGTATTAGAGGGAAGATTTTAAATGATCACAGTGGAAGACTTGTTTTGAATGGAAATTTGTCATTTTCACCCTGTAGTTTTTAAAAATACTTGATCTTTCAGTGAGTTTGCTAACCTGGGCATTTATAAGGACAATTAGTATTATTGAACAGTAATTGTGTGAGTTTTCGGCTAAACAGTTTACACAGTTCTCTCTTTCAATTCTGCTAAGCATGCTGTTTTATAGGTATCCCCATTTTTATGTGAGGAAACGGAACTTAAAAGAGATTAACTAATTTGCCTAGTACCACCTTAAACTGAGTTGCTGGGACCTGCCAAACTCAAAGTTGATTGCAGAATTTGAACTCTTAACTGCATTGCCACCTGGTGTAGCATGTTAGTATACTCATTTGTTTTGCTTTTAAAAAAAAATCTACCTTTTTGTTTTGAAAACACCACAACCCATGTTTTATTGCTTAGATATCTCTGAATGACCATATCAGAACTTTATGGGCCAGGAAATTTTGTTTGGCATCATCAATGCAGCTGTCATGCCCATGAGAGCAGGAGACAGGAAAACACTGGTCACTGTCATTCTTGGAGCCCTTGACCTTGGCTCTGAGGAACCAAAGAGAACAAATTCCTTGGTGGCAAGACTTCTCAAACTCAGAGTTGATAAGTAAATATTCTCAAAATAGGCAAAAAACAATTTAAGGGAACAAGTAAAGAATTAAATTTCAACTGGAATTCAGCACAAAACTTGAAAATAGAAGTAGCTTGTGAATAAAGTTCTTGAATGAAGGTTTTATGTCATAGCCATAACGTCTGCAGTTCAGATACCTGTATTAGAAAATGCAGTCTCCAGGAGTGGCTAAGAATCACTGTTATCCTCAGAAATACCTTACCAAGATGGTTTATTAAATTTTAAACATTTTAAAATATGAACTTAAAATTAATGCAATCTTTAGGTTGTTGGTTTATCTCTAGTAGGTTTTTTTTTAAATTTTTTTTATCTGTTATGCATTTAATTACAATCACCAAAACCACTCTGACCAATCAGGTTCTGAGCTGTGTGCCTTATAATGGGATCTCTGGGGAATATGACAGAAACTGCCCGAGTGCAAAGAGGTAAGTGTTAATATGAAATGAAATAGGCTGAGCTATGAGCGATGCTCATAATAGCATCTTAAGAAAACAAGTGAAGAAAAATCCCTGCAAACTCCAGAGGATGACCAACATTTATGTGCAGTAACTACAAAAATAAAATTCTTTAAGCACCTGCTAAACATGATGTGCTTGGTTCATCCTTTAGTACCAAGTGGAACTTATTTTAGATGAAGCCTTTAATCACTCCCTCCTTTTCTGATATTACTGCAGCAAGGGAGTCAGTTCTGGCCATGTTTGTCCCAGGAAGTAATCCACTTTGTTAGGGCAATGGCAATACCTGGGCATAAAAGGGCGAGTCCGTGCCATTTTCTTACTTCAGACTTTCTATCTCTAATTTTGGATTTTCTTGCTTTTGTGACTTTTAAGGCCACCATTTATATGACTTAAACACTTTTTAGAGGTTTTAATATCTTACTTATCACTGAAAACCAGGGTCCAGTTAGTTAAAGTTTCAGTTGAACGTGAAATGTGACTTCCTAAGCTTGTCATGCATCAAACTGTTATGGCTGGCAATTGTTTAAAAAAATTCATTTTGTTATGAACTAGCCTGTTTTCAACTGGGCTGTTCAGAGATGGATTGCTTTCTGGAGTTTTTGACAGGTGTAATTGTTAAGGCGTCATCTGTTCTTGTTTGCACAAAATACATTTTAGCCAACTGTAGGACTTGCCCGCTAATCTTTCTCACATCATTCCATTCTTTGCTTGCCACTAGACAAATCCCCTGTTATTTGACCAGATGGTGGAAAATCCATTCTCATGATAAGTTGCTTCTAGTTTGCATTTAGATTACCTGCAAAAATGGAACAATTTACTACTCTGCCTCTAACCATCTCTTTCCTCCTTTTCCCTTAGTTTGACTTCTTGTAACTAATTATTTAAATTCTGCCCTGTGAGTTAAAATTAGTCATAGCTTACACGTTTCACATGTATGTAAATGCACTTAAGTCCTACCTCAAGCTGTATGATGAGTCCATCTAGACAGAAGTGACATGAAGGGAAAAGGATGTGGATTGTTTGATAGGCAGAAACTGCAGTTCATAATAGTTTCACAATTGAAAGGGATTTTTGAACTTTTTACTGGCAGTATTTAACCTTTAAAAACAGAATCAGGCAAAGAAAATGAACTCAGTAGCTTTTGTTTGGTAACATATTGTACCAAAAAGGGTGAAATGCTAAGTATTCAGTAAACGATAGTTTGGGGGTTGAATTTCTGTAGACACTTTTATGTTATTTTTTACATCTGCCAGTTTTATTTATGATATACATGATATAAATGAAAATTAAATTATAATTATAAAATTTTTAAAAAGGGGTGTTTTCACACCATTGATTATTACCTAAAATTGATCATATGCAAATATTTTTAATACTCTAATTGAAAGCAAAATGTAAGAAAATGACACTGAACAGAAATACACCATATTTCAACGTGATTTTAGGCCAAATTAATTATTTTGAAAATTGTAATTTATATCATTTGTTGTCCTTTGGGGTAGCATGTACTCAAAAATACTCAGAATTAGTTTTAATGAGCTTAATAGATAAAATGAATTTGTTGGATAGAACCTATTATTGTATTGCATAATTTAAATTTGTTCTTTAGTTCAATCTTTCTATGTCTTGCTTTCCTATATGAGTTTTACAATGAAAAATCACATGAGTTAAAATAAACATTTGAAATTCCAGTGATAGATAATGAGTGTGTTTAGGTTAGAATTTGAATACAGTAAACTTACGGCTTAAAATCATTTTAAATCAGATAAATGTTGTTGGCCAACTAAATTCAGTGAGATTTGGGGCCAGACTCAGAGAATGTGTTTAAATAAAATCTTAGGAAAGCTAAGATTTTGAATGTAGAACTTAAAATTTTTAAAAGTATTAGTTAGCATTTAGATATACTGGGCTTTATGAAATATTAAGCAAGCACATTTGATGAAATTAGAAACAAGTTTGAAAAGATACACTGATTTTCTATAGAATAACATGCATCTATCTTGTTTTTATTAATAATTAAGAGGATATTTATATATATGTATGAAGATTAGATATTATATTACCTTTTCTAATAGAGTGACTTTCAACAAAATGCTTGGAACTCTTACAGATACAGTATATTAATTAAATTACATGATTTTTCTCTAAAATACAACATGATAGGTCCTTATAATATTTTTTTCTCTGGATGAAGAGATTTTCAATAGAAGGAAATAGAAAATGCTTCAGCATTTTTGTGTCCATATAATGCATGGAGTCTCCAATGAATTTATATACTTAGGTATCACAGATGAAAATTGTGTAAGCTTTCCTCCCCCTTTTGTCTTAACTGCCAAGAAACCTGGAGCCACTGTAATCAGCTCATCTCAGGTGCCTGTTAACATCTAACCTGTGTTCCCCATGGTCTTGCCTATGTTTTCATCCTTAATTGGGTTTAGTTCTGAAAGCTGTATCACATTCCCTTAGAAGTTAGTAGCATACAAACTCTATATAATTTGAGTAAAGCTGAAAAATATATTAACTTGACTAAGGTTTTTTAGTTAATTTGCAGTTGCCTACCCTTGTAATGCATGATTGAATTAATGACAATTCTATAACAAAAACACTAATGACATTGTTTTTAACATTTCCTTTAGAATATAATCATGGGGATTGTAGAGTGAGTTAAGCTTTGGACCTATGTCTTTCTTTTCTTCCACTTTTATGACTGAGATTTAAAAACTGTTCTAACGAAGAACTGAAAAACTAGTTTTCTAAAAGTGGAAGTTAATGTTCTAAAATGTATGTACACATTGCAAATGTATGTAGAACTCAAAAGTGTAAAAAGCAAAATATATTAAATTTCAACATACGTTTTATCCTGCATTCCAGTTGACTGTAGAGAATCTCTAGTCATGTCTATCTGTTTTTGATGCCTCTACAGAATAACTGCCCAGCATCCTCTGCCCAACCAATCAGAATGTAGGAAAATCTACAGATATGACGGAATCTACTGTGAATCTACCTACCAGAAGTATGTTGAAATCTTTGTGAGTCTTCCTTCTGGCTCGTGCATCAGTGCTTGTGGTTGCCAGCTATTCAAAAATATCCTTGTATTGAAACCTTATTTTTATCTAATTTAGTGGGGGAATAAAACCAAACCAAATCAAATGAAAACCACCAAAAAGAAAAAAAAAATTGTTTCTAAAATCAAGACCAAAAGAAATGTTTATTCTTTTGAAATTGTGGTCTAAAAGAGTTTTTAAAATGACTGTATTATGGCTCTTAGGTAAGCTTCTTTATATTGCAATAAACAAGTACTTATATGCAAGAAAACCTCGGCAAAATACATTGCACAGGTGCTTCGCATCTTAGGGATTTGAAAGGTGTGTTATGTATAAATTAGCTGTCACTTTTTTTCAATCCTGTAATGGAATGATGAGTTGTAATTTGCATAATCCTTTAAGAAGTCAAATTATACTGTCATGTAGCAGACTTAACATGCTAGCTAAGATTTCAGAGCTTTGCAACTAATTACTATGTACCTTACAGGACAGTTAAATTGAAGTTGAGTCCTCTGTCTTTGCTGCCATTTGCTTTGTCCCTTACTTAACAGAATCTGCACTTTTGGTAACGAGGTGTTGTTACTATCACTGAAGTAAACACAGTTCTGGGAAGGAAATGGCATTTTAATATTTTGGAGCTTGACTTCTATTGCTTGTGCTGTGAGGAAAGTTTTTTTTTTTTTTCTTTCTAAACATTAGGCCAATTGGAATCTTCCAGAAAAGTTATGGAATATTGTTTGAAGCAACAATTAACATTTAAATTCCCTTATAGAAAATATAAAGTAATGTAGACATAATTCCACTGCATTCTTTGTGGTTATACTTTGAAAATATACTTTGGTGTATTTTTGTCTTTATACTCTTAGTTTTTCAGTAGACTGTTGATTTTGAAAAAGAAAGTGCCTATTTTTCCCCTTAAAAATTCTTTTTGAATACAAGCTGGCGAGTGAGCCCTATTTTGATTATTCCTCCATGGTGCGGGGTGAGGGAAGTAGAACAATTTCTTCCGTGGTTTCTGCTTTTAAAATGATTTGAGAAGTGCTGATGGCTGTGAAAGGCCCTTCTGAAATGGCCACAGGATGAACCCTGCATGAAGTTGGTCCAGTTTTCTGCCTGGCATGGCTTAGTTTATCGTTATATCATTGCATCTTGCCTGTGTATTCATCTCTGGGTTGTATGTGTTGATATTTCATTGCCTAGAATATGTCTTTTCATCAGAACTGGTGTAATTATAATACAAAATGGTTTTGGGTTTTTAAAAAAAAATTATTTGCAAGTCATAGAGTGTGCTAGTGGTGGTCAGTGTTTCTGTAATTTGTTGTGATTCACGGACACTTGGAATGAGCCTTTTGTTGTATAGGAAGAGGGTCCTCTAAGGACTGGTATTAACGCAGCAGTTGATTGTTGACTGTTCAGATAATTGGTGATCAGCAGACAAGTGTTGGTCATTGTAACTAAACCATTTTCATAGGTGGGTGAAATGACTGCTTAATGGCTGAGTTTGATCAGCTTTCGAGTAAAGAGCTTGAATGTGGCTACTAATGTAGGAGTTTGGTTCCTTGTAAGCCTTTTCTAACAGAAATAATCTCAAGGGTTTGCTTTTTAAAAAGAATTGGTGTTATTTGTAGTCAAGGTAGACACAGTAGGCAGCACAGCTGTGACTGCCAGGGAAAGTCACTAGGGGGATATTCATAACAAGGAAATATTGGCAAATAAATGAGGAAGAAGGGAAAGAAATCCCCAACATGTTAAATTGGAGCACTGTCACTGAGATGATTAATGGTGTTGTGTATTTTTAGTGAAGATGCTTAATCTGAATTGTCCTGAAACTATAGTATACATTTCATAGCACCTATAAAAAAGCATGTGGTATACAAGCACACTGAATAGAAAAAGTCGTAGACTCAGGTTTTATTTTCCCAATGAAGTCTCTGACTTTTATTTATTAGAAAACTGCTATTAATGTATACTGTATACAGAGTTTGTTTATTCCATATCATATGTTTAATATTAATAAGTTTGATATGGCTTTTCTCTGTAAAATATTGAAGATGTTTTATAAAAATGATGTTTCTTTTCAACACTGTAGAGGATGAATATTATTAACAATAGAGAAGTAAGCACCACACAGATAATCTAGGCAAAAGGGGATTTCAGAGCATTATTGGATGAAGGACTAAACTTTCATCAGTGATGGAGTAGGGTGTGTTTTACAAATTATGCTTTGTCTTTTCCTGACAAAGCGTAGGAGAGGCTGCCTTGGAAGGTCCTGTATCTTTCAGCCATGAATATCTCAGTTCCATGGCATGAATCATCACCTGCATGGAAGGATTGTATATAAACTTATAGAGTTTATATACATCTTTGGAGAAGTTACTTAACCTCCTTGAACCAATCTTTACTGCTAGACATGGGAACAGATTCAGACAAATGACATAGAATCCTACCTTCAGTGAGTTTACAATCTATTACTACACAGGTTTTCAAATTCTGAGTCACTATACAAGTTGATTGATATAAGTTCAATTTATTGGATCAAGATCTGAATTTAAAAATTAGAATATTTTAATGTCTTGTGTGTAGTAAGAGTTGTTTTATTTTGTAAGGCTTGTTTTAGTTTTATCTGCTTATGTGTGTGGACATACAGCTGTACACATGTGAACACTGGTTGTGTTATGAGATCATGAAGTGTTTTCTATTGACTCATATCCAAAAATAAGAATGAGAACCATAATAAAATATTGAGTAGGTAAGTATATAAAGATATTTTACAGTTATGCCATTATGCCTTTAGGAGATGGTAGATTATAAAGGTAGAAATAGTTCTGTGGAAAGGCTTTAGCTATGAAGAGGCTACATTATCAGGTTTCTCATATTCGGTAATCTGTTGAAGTCAACTTGGGCAGTTTTGTGAAAGGCAATTGTTTGCACCTATGTCTCTGATTGGTGATATTGTGTTAGTAACTTGAAGTCAGAAAAAAGTATTTGCATGATGGAAATTGGAAAACGCTGCAAATCAAAGACCTCTACCACTAAAACTAGTTGAAATTTAATAGTATATTGTCGCTCATATTCCTTCCAACTATCATTCTGTGATTTTATAATCACCGTGAATTGTTACATTAGAAACATTATATGTTGCATTTAAATTTTATTGGGAGTTATTAGAATGATTAGACAGTTGTTTCCATAATAAAAATTTAAAGTAGATAGGAATAAAAACCTGTGATTAGTTATTTCAAAAGATCTGCAATTTATTACTTAAGGGCAGCAGTTACTCTAAATTCTTATATTCAATGCTTATTAAATTTCTAATTTAAACTTAAGTTGCAATTAACGGTATTAGATTTTTGGCAAATGATAGGAAAAAAGTCTTAAAAATGACTAGCGTTGTAAATATTTTACAAATCTCATTGTTTTCAGCTAGAAAGCTATTTTGCTAAGCTCTAAAACTTTCAGGTTCAAGTCCCCTCCCTTTTTAAACTACCCTTGTGTTGGGGGATGGGGTAGACTGGGGTTTGAACCTAAAGTCGTTGCACTGAGCTGTATTCCCAGGCTTCTTTTCTTTTCTTTTCTTTCTTTCTTTCTTTCTTTTTTTTTTTTTTTTGAGACAAGATTTTGTTATGTTTTCTATGCTGTGCTCAAACTTGTGATCCTCCTTCCTCAACCTTCTAGTTAACTCTTTTTATAGTTTATAATAATGTGTCTGTATTTAGTGAACTAATCTTTGAATTAGTAGATTTGATTGGGGGTGCTAATATTCTTTCAAATTTAAAACAGTCATCATCAATCTTGTTTGTTTCTGTTTTCAAATGTAAAAGAAAAATGTAGAGAATCTGATAAAAGGGGGAAAAAAAACCTCTGTTTATTTTAACTATGACTTGGAATTTTAGTTTTAAGCCAAGAAAGTACTTGAGTCAGGCGAGGAATTTACATGGACTGGAGAGATAATTGTAATAATGCTTTCATAGAGTATTACTGGTGTTTCTTTACATACTTGACAGTGCGGAAAATAGGTGGGGATCAACTGAGTTTCAGAGTTTAAGTTGCAATTCAGTGCCACTGAGTCAAGTACAGAGCAGACACTACATTGGTATTTGAGTAAGAATGGCTACCCTTAAAGCTGTACCCAAGAACAGTTAATTTTACCAGTGTTTAGTACAGTCACCCATCAGTGAGTAGGAGAAAATAGGAGTGAATCACTGTTACCTGAGTATATCGTGCCATTATATAGACTGCATTATGCACTTAAAACAAAAACAGTCAAGACTGAGAAGTCCCAGTTGAGAAGATGCTTCAGATTGACTTGCACAGTTGTCACCTACAGCAAAAGAGGTCCATTAGCAAAGTTGTGTCTTTTTTTAACTGTCTTCTGTCCCCAATCCCAGTCTTTTTTTGTGTGACATTCATTTCACCTGGACACCTAGCTAGTGCTTCCAATCTGAGCCTCATACCCACTGGGCATTATTGTCTGAACCCCTCATTGCAGATCAGGTGTTGTCAACTGATAATGCTGTTCTTACCAGGACCATTTGCATTTTAATAAGCAACTCCAAGTGAACAAATTCAAGGGGGAAAATAAGGAGTCTTCTTCAATATAGTCATTTCAGACACCAGGGCAGGGCTTGGAGAAATGAATATGGAACTGGAGGGAATCCAGTTTCTTTCTTTCTCCAAAATAACCCAGATGTGAGTGTTCTACTCGATGTAGCATTAAGCCTTGTCATAGCTAAGAAGGTTGGGTATGGGAATGGGAATATTCTGATTTACATAGAGAAGATCTATAGAAGGGGATAGTGAGTGAAGGAACTTAGCATTGCACGTCAGCTGTGCTGTGCCAGGCTGAAGGGTTTTCACATGTTATCCCAATTAAGAAGGATAAGAAAGGTGCTTGTCAGGAGGGCTCCTGAGGCGGGACATGGTCGCCTGTGCTGAAGGGGAGGCAAGGCACCAGCAGCAGCAAATTCAT